CACCCGGTACCGTACCCCAGTGTTATACAGCGACAGACCCGTCCCCCCCCGGTACCGTACCCCAGTGTCATACAGCAACAGACCTGTCCCCCACCGGTACTGTACCCCAGTGTTATACAGCAACAGACCTGTCCCCACCGGTAATGTATCCTACAGTAAGTGGTGCGCTGTGGGTCACGCAAGTTCTCGGTCGACTGAGTGAATCAGACTTGTTTTCCCGGTGAAGTTGCAGGTGGTTTGCATGCTGTGTGCTGTTGAGGGAGCAGTGTTATTTTGAATAGGCAGTGTGTTGGCAGCCTTCAGGAGTATGACTGGGATGTGTCCTGCCTGGGTCATTGTTCACAGCAGCTGGGGTTGTTTCTGAGAGACAGGAGCACTCGGATTTAGCTGGAATCTCTCCACACCGGTAGCCAGGCCTCTGGGGAATACCAGTCTGACTGCTTTCAGTTCTAGGTACCTCTGGGTAGAGATGTCCGGGCACGAGGCTGGCCAGTGTAGCCCAAACCCCCTCCTGACCATCTGTTTTCATATTTGTAAGTGCCACAGTGGCACTTTGAGCTTGGGAGTAGCTTGTTCTCTGACTCCACCAAATCGGGATGGTTTTTCGGGGCTCAGAGGGAAACTTACAAGGGGTTGATGCCCCCCCCCAACGTCTGCTGCCCCCATCCTGCCAGGGATGTAGAGGTGGCATGTTTGTCAGAGGAGCCTCAGCGAGTCACTGCGGATCATCTTGTAGACTGTACACACTGCTGCTGCTGTGCGTCGGTGTTGGAGCTCAGCCGAGCATTCCTAATGAGCCTGGCTACTGCTGTGCATCGGTGGTGGAGGGAGAGCATGTTGAAGGTGGGGATTAGCATGTTGGTCGAGCAGGGTTGGTGGGGGGGGACTGCTTTGTCCTGGATGGTGTCGAGTTTTTCTGGTGTTGTCGGAGCCAAATTTGTCCAGGCAAGTGGGGAGTATTCCATCACAGTCCTGACTTGTGCTTTGTCGATGGTGGAGCGGTGCCAATCAGCTACAGAGGGGTGAAGAGTTTAACTGTAAAAGTTGTTGCAGAGAATTGTGGCAAAAATATCCACAAGAGCTGCAGCTTCTGTGATGAACAAGTTGAAGAGAGGAACACACGATCAGTTTGAGTTTAGATATGTGGCTACAAGGTGACCAAGGTTGTGAAATAGAAACAGGAGGCCTTTCAGCCCCTCGAGCCCTGTTCCCCCATTCAGTGACATCATGTCTGCTCTGAGCCTCAACTCCATAGTCCTGCCTCTGCCTCTTCATATCTTCGCTTTACAAAACGTGTATCTATCTCGGGTTTGAGCTGAACACCTGATCCAACACCTTTTGAGGAAGGGAGATAGTAGGAACTGCAGATGCTGGAGAATCCGAGACAACAAGGTGCGGAACTGGATGAACACAGCAGGCCAAGCAGCATCATAGGAGCAGAAAGGCTGACGTTTCGGGCCTAGACCCTTCATCAGAAATCTTTTGAGGAAGATAGCTCTGAATGTGTCTCACCTTTTTCCCAACCCCTCTCCTGAACGGTCTGGCCCTAATGCTCAGACTATACCTCCCTAGTTCTAGAATCCCCAACCAGTGGGAATAGCCTATTTACCCCATCTTCTTCTGTTAATATCTTGAAGATGCCAGTCAGACCAACCCCTAATCTTTGCAAATTCTCGAGAAAACAGGCCTTGTATCTGTAATCTCTGCTCCTAATGAAACTTCTGGAGTCCGGATGAACGATAAAGGATGAGAGAAGGGCATTGACAAGAGGGAGTTTTCATCTGGAATCAGGCGGGGTGGCACAGGTTGGAAAATGCTGTAGGGAGTTACCCAGCGCTCAGTATCCTGCGGGAGGTAGTCCGAGAGCTGTGGAATTCCCAGCCTCCAAGCTGCTCCTCTGTGTGGTTACAGGACGGCACGGGGGCTGGGTCCTGCCCAGCGCTATAGCAATGTGGGACGTGTTGCAGTGCCTAGGTGTACAGACAGCTCCTGACCGCCTCCCTGTTCTGTAGGTGGTCCAGAGCATCGAGGATCACCACCAGGAGGTGATCTCCTTCTACCGGGAGAATGGATTTCACGGCCTGATCGCCTACGATTCCGAGTACGCCCTGTGTAACGTGCAGTGCTACCTCAGCGCCCACGCCCTCAAACTCAGCTGGAACGGGAAAAGCCTCACCACTAACCAGTACCTCATGCAGGAGGTGGCCAAGCAACTCAATGTCAACCCTGCCCACTTCAGCATCTTCGCAGCACTCCTCGGTAGGTACACGGGGCGGGGAGAGAGAGGAGGGGGCCCAGTGCAGAGAGAGAGAGAGAGAGAGAGTTCACCCTGACCGTTTGCGGGAGACCACATGTTGCCCCTCGTGCCTCCCTTTTGACCGCCTTCCGTTTGCGTCCCTCCCCTGACTCTCAATTCTTCCACCAATGGGAACGGCTTCTGTTTCCAACAATCCCTGCTCCCCCCGGGGTTTCGACGCCGTGATTGGATCTGGGGATCCTGGGTATTTCCCTGCCTCAGTCGAGCGCTTTGATGGTCTCCCCAGTGAATCTCTGACCCACCGCAGTGGCCCGAGAGCAGCAGGAGAGGGCTCGGGTCGCCCACTGCGAGGGACAGGAGCAGGGGTCCCACACTGCGTGGCCAAAAGTGTGCGCATTGGGAGACTAAAGCGGACACTGCTGGAAAAGCTCAGCAGGTCAGATCGCCAGAAATCACGGAGTTAATGCTATGGGTCCCCTCTCTGAAGAAGGGTCACTGAATCCCAAAACGATAACTCTGTGATCTCTCTCTCTCACTCCACACAGATGCTGCCAGACCTGCTGAGCTATACCAGCGACTTCTGTTTTTCTTTCTGATTTACAGCAGTTCCTGCAGTTTTTAAACATCAGGAGCTTCAGTTACGGTTGGGGAATTGCATTGCACTGCCCTGGGAGACCAGTTTCGGGTGGCTTGTCCTCCAATGGTTCTCTAAGTCCCTGGTCTGTTGGGAATTTGATGTGGGAGTGGGAACGGGAACTGGCTGATTGGAATGTCGGTCGCCTCCAGCTTTATCTAACTCCACTCAGTTACCTTCCAGGGAACCACATACTTCCAGATGAGGATTTGGCAGCTTTCCATTGGGGGCTCTTAGGCCCAGACCATCCCCTGGCATCACTGAAGGTAAGGAGCCTCGTGGGCAAGGCCGGCTCAGCTCCGTGTTCCCCCTGCACCCAGCGACGTACTGTCAGACCACCACAGTAACACCAAGATTGGGCCTGTCGCTATAACACTGGGGTACGGTACCGGTGGGGACAGGTCTGTCCCTGTATAACACTGGGGTACAGTACCGGTGGGGGACGGGTCTGTCGCT